CCGTTTCCTCCGGCAGCCGGCGGGAAGCGGGTCCCACCCCGAGCCCTTCCGCCCGCGGGGAATCGGGTGCCCACTCGGAACGGGCACTGGAGTCCCCCCCCCCGGTCCCTGCCTCAGTGTCCCCCGATCCCACTGAAGCAGCACCCAGAGGAACTGGGGGACACAGAGACCCTCCGGGTGCTGCAGCAGCGCCCGTGAGCGCGCGGGGACTCCCTTGCAACAGGGATTCCTTCTCACGGGGATTCCCGAGCTCTCCAGGGAGCACCGGGAGCCCCCAGCCCTGCGTGCCTCAGTTTCCCCTCTGGCTGGGTCATCGCGTGCGTGGGGAGCCCCGGGGAGCCCCCAGTTCTGAGCTCCTGGAGCGTCCCATGGCTCGGACCACCCCTCCCCCAAGGGACCCCAGGGGGATCCGCTGGAGATTTGGGGGGTGAGACCCCCCCAAGGCTGCAGGTGCCCGTGGGTGCCGTGTGTGCACGCGTGTGTGCCGTGGAGTGGGGGGCCCGGCTGGCTCCCTGCCACTCTCCTGCCTTGTCCCTGTTCCAGGACGGCTCCGTGCTTGGACATTTATGGTCTGGCTCCGGCAGCCCCGGCTCACGGCGTTCTCCCACCCACTGCCAGGGCCGGAGCACCCCGTCCCTGTCACGGCCATCACGGGACCCCCCGTCGCAGCTGCCACCCCACGCCGAGCTTTTTATAGCCCGGACCTGTGGCTGCGTGTGCCCAGGAATGGGCAGGTGGCAGTGGGACGCCAGGGTCACGCGTGGCACCGGCTGAGCCGGGCAGGGCCGGGGGGCTGAGGCTGCGGGGTACGGACCGGGAACGCCCCGGAGCAGCCTGTCATTACCGACAAATATAGGCCCGGGGCAGGGAGCCAGCGCCGGCCGTGGGCACCCGGTAATCACTGCCCGGCCGTGGGCACCCTGCGAGCCCCGACCCCCACCCCGGGGCTCGGAGAGGGCTGGCTGGTGGCCACCGTGTCCCTGTGTCCCCACCTGGGTGCCGGGATGGAACCGGCACCCCAGGGCCGGTGCGAGCCGGGGTCCTCCCCTGCAGCTCCGTGGCCTTGCCAGGGTGGCTTGGCTCGGGTTTCCTTCCCCGGAGCCATCCCGGTCCCCGGGGCCTCTCCCGGGGTACAGCTAATCCCGGGTGCGGGGGCTGCCGGTGTCACCCTCCCGCCTCCGGTAACGCCGCTACTGAGCGAGGGGTGCGGGGGGGCTGCAGCCGCCACGCTCCGTGCCCCCGGTGGCTTTGGGACCCCTGTGGGCTCCGGGACCCCCGAGAGCTCGGGATCCCGTGGCCTGACCCCGTCGCGGGGGGCTCCTGACCGTCCCCCCGGGTTGGCACCGGCTGCAGTCCCGGTACCGGCTGTGCAGCTCCCGGGGCGAGGGGACCCCGGCGGGTCCCGCCGGGCCCGGGGGATCCCCGCGGGGGAGGCCCCGCCGGTGCCGCGGGATCCCCGAGGCGTCAGCGGGCAGGTGTGACGTCAGCGGGCAGGTGTGATGTCACGGAGCCCCGTCGGGGGCGGGCGACAGCGGGAACCGGGGCCGGAACGAGGTAACGGGCAGCGAGAGGAGGCAGCGACGGCGCCCGGCCCCGAGCTGCCATCTCCGGTACCCCCCGGGCCCCTCTGGTGCCGGGCTCTCCCCTCGCGGGGCCGGGGGGTCCCCCGAAGCCGGGGAGGGTCGCGGTACCAGTGATTCCGGCAGCGCCGTCCCGACCCCGGAGGATGGACCGGTGCCCGGCACGGTGGGACCGTGCCAGGGGCTCTGCCGCTGCGGGGGGCACTAACGGGAGGCACTAACGGGGCTGCCAACCCCGCGTTCTGCCGACCCCTAACTAACGGGGCTGCCGCGAGGGGGATACCGGAGGGTACGGGAAGGGGGCTGGCACCGGAGGGTATCGAGGTGGTACCGGAGGGTACCGCGGGATGTGCTGGGGCGGTACCGAAGGGCATCGGGGTGGTACCTGGATGGTACCGGAGGGTTCGGAGGGTACCGGCGTGGTACCAGAGGGTACCCGGTGGGGAAATACCGGGATGGTACCGGGGGGGTACTGGGTCCCTTCCGCCCACCCCTCGCCCTCCCGCGGGCCCGGCCCGGCCCCGCACGGGCTGAGCTCATCTTTCCAGCCCGCGGGCGCTGTTCCCGGCGCCGGCGCCCGCCAGCAGCCGCCGCTCTTTCCATCGCCCCGGCCAGGGGCTCCCCGCGGGGACCGGGCGGGGGCGGGACCCCGCGTCACCCACCCCGCACCCGGGCACCGAGCGGGAGGAGAGCGGGGGTACCGGCGCCGCTGAGCACCGGAGATACCGGCTCAGATGGGCACTGGGCATAACGGCACCGGGGGTACAGGAGAGCACCGGGGAGAACGGCACCGGGGGGCACCGGGGAGAACGGTACCGGAGATACTGGCACCGAGGGGGCACCGGAGATGGGGGCACGGGGGTCCCAGCAACGAGGGGACACCAGAAATACCGGCACCGAAGGGGCACCGGCGATGGAAAAACCGGGGGATGCCAGCCCCGGGGATACCGAAGGGGCACCGGGGATACCCCCGACACCGGGGCCTCCCTCCCCCCCGCCGGCGGCCCCGGGAGCCCCGGAGGGGGGATGTGGAGGGGGGCGAGGGGCGCCCGCGCTATTTTTAGCCGGGGCCGCGGGGGTATTTTTAGCCGGGGCCGCGGGTGCGTCAATGGAACCCCGCGTGCGTCACGGCCGCGCCCCCGCCGGGGCCGCCCCCCCCGTGCGTCACCGGCCCCGCACCGCCCCGCGCGTCACCGAGCGCTTAAGAGAAAGTAGTGGCGGGGTCGGAGCCCGGCGGAGCCCGCGGAGCGGCGGCGGCAGGAGCGGGGACCGGAGCGCCGCCGCGCCGGCACCCGGGTACGGGCGGCACCGGGGTGCGGGCACCGGGCGGGGGGCACCGTGGGCGGGGGGGTCCCGCGGGCAGCGGGGGCGGGGGTGAGCGCATGGAGAAGTGCACGGGGTCGGGTGTCCCGGGTGGCATCGGGGGGATCCGGGTCGGGCGTCCCGGGTGGCACCGGATGGATCCGGGTCGGGCATCCCCGTGGCACCGGGGGCTCAGGGCGTGGGACGTCCTACAAGGTGCATGGGGTCGAGTAGCACCGGGGGGAACCGGGGCTCGTGTATCCGAAGGACACAGTGGAAGGAACTCCCGGTGCCACCGGGGAGTGTCGGGGATCCCGGTGGAAGGGACCGGGCGGTGAGCGACGCGCGGGACCGGCCCTCGGGGGTATCCGGTGGCACCGGGGGGGGATCCGAGTCGGGCATCCTGCGTGGCACTGGGAGAACCGGATCGGGAGTCCCGGCGACACCGGGAGGAGCCAGGGGGACGCACACCCGGCGGGAGCCGGCAGAGCGAGGGGTCCCCGTCCTGGGGGTCCCGGGAAGAGCCTGACATCGCTCCTTTGTGAGGAGCTGCACAGGACCGGGAGGCACTTCTTGGGCTATGGGGGACCGGGCTGGATCCCCCATCTTGGCACCCAAAACAGGGACCAGCTGCAGCCAGCAGACCCACGGCTCTGGGGGCTGCGGGGGGCAGAGCCACTCCATATCGGGCATCACCTTGGGATCCCCGAGCAGAGTGGGCAGGACCGGGCAGGAGGAGCGTGTGGGCAGCACCGGGGACCTGGCAGTGCAAGCAGGGATGTGCAGGCAGCATCGGGACCCGGCAGTGCGGGCAAGGGTGTTCAGGCCAGCCCCCTGCAGGCAAACCCCCCGCTGCCCACGCAGACCTGGCAGCGGCCGCTGGGCAGCAGGTGCCGGCAGGGCTGTGGGCAGCGTTACCCGCCCCCAGGGCCACCGGCTGCTCTCGCCCGCCTGTGGCCCGGGGCTCGGTGCCAGCGGCTGCCACCCGCCCGTGCAGGCAGCAGCCTCCGGACTGGGCACGGGCAGCTGCCTGCACTCCCAAATGAGGAATCTGCAATTAGTGCCCGGCCGTGGGCAGCGCGGGGGCTGCTGCAGGAATCTGTGCCCGGTCCCCGGGGAGGTCATGGCAGGAGGGACCCCAAACGCCACCGGCACGTGGGAAAGGGCAAAAGTGTTTGAATAACCAGGGCCACGGGAAGGGTCGGGGCTTTGCATCTGTCAGGATTTGCAGGCAGGCAAGGGAAAGAGCCAGTGTCCCCCGAGGTCGTGTCCCCAGCGTGGCCTCAGGTCCCCTCGTCTGCGTTCAGGGGCAGGAGGCAGCCAGGGGGGTCAACGTCCCCACTGAACTCACCCTCCGAGCCCAGCTGGACAGGCACAAACCCCACTGGGGCAGTGGGAGTGGGGCCGGTGCCACCCCGTGGGTGCCAGGGCCGGGTGCACGCCGGGTATTTTTAAACCTGGCTCCCGGCAGGTATCGGCTTTCTGGGTGCCGGCAAGAGCTGCCCAGATTTGGCCGGGGGAAGCCGGGGGCCGGCGGAGCTCTGGCAGCGGGGCCGTGCCGGGGCTGCGGCCGGGGGCCAGCACAGCGTGACCTTTAAAGGTCTGCGAGATGAATTACATTATCGTCTTGCCATCGGGGTCACTCCTGGCTTGGCTTTCAGCTGGACACAGGACTCGGGTCGTCTCACATGGTGCCGGGTCCATGTGCAGCGCCGGGGGCTGTGGGGACACAGGGTGGGCTCCTCTCCCCCCGCACCCGAGAGTCTGCCTGCGCTGCTGTTACCACAAGGCCCCGGAATGGCTTATGGGGGAAGTGGGATCCTTGAAATCTGGTTCAACCCCAGCTCTGACTTCCCCTGGCCAGCCCCGGGGCTTGGGAATCTGCTGGTCACATTCCTCCCTCCTTCCCTTTCGGGGACTTTGCTAAGCCAACGGTTTTTGGGGAATGTCCTTTGCGCCCATTGGCTGTGCCCTGACCTTTCCCAGGGACAGCCAGCGGCCCCAGGGGCCTGGTTCTGGCACGAGTGGGATCCTGGGGAAGCTCCAGTGGTTCTCCCCCCATCTCCACGCTCTGCCCGGATGACGGAGGGGCGATGGCGGGGTCCCCGCTGACGCCCCTCTCTCCCCACAGAGATGCCCTGCATCCAGGCGCAGTACGGCACCGCGGGCGCCGGCCCCTGCGAGCGCTGCCCGGCCGAGCTGCTCAGCCCCGAGGGCGGCCGCTTCCCCATGGAAGTGGCAGGAGCCGACCTGGCGGCCGCCCCCGCCCTGCCCAGCTTCAGCACCTTCATGGAGGGCTACGCCGGAGAGTTCGACGCCTTCCTCTACCAGCTGCCGGCCAGCGGCCAGTCCGGCACCACCAACGCCGCCACCGCCTTCAAGCTGGAGGACTTCCAGGTGTACGGCTGCTATCCCAGCGCCTTCGGGGGGCAGCCGGACGAGACCCTCTCCTCCAGCGGCTCGGACTGCTACGGGAGCCCCTGCTCCGTCCCCTCGCCCGCCACGCCGGGCTTCCAGCAGGCCCCGGGCTGGGAGGGCTCCTTCGGGGCCTTCTCGCCGCTGCCGAACTACGAGGGAGGGCAGCCCTGGGCTGAGCCGGCCAAGGGCGGGGGGTCGCAGCCCCCCTTCTTCGCCTTCGGGCCCCCGGCCCCCAGCCCCGGCGGCGGGTCCCCCGTGACCCTCAAGGGGCAGCCGGGCCCCTCGCCCCGCGTGGACCCGCGGCTGCTGGACACAGACGCCTTCCCCCCGACCCAGGCGCACCCCCCGGGGGGCTTCGCGGGGCTGCCCCTGGCCCCCACCTCGCCGCTGCTGGAGGGGCCGGCGCTGGCGCCCACCAAGGTGCGCAGCCCCGGGGCGGGCGAGGGGCGCTGCGCCGTGTGCGGGGACAACGCGTCCTGCCAGCACTACGGGGTCCGCACCTGCGAGGGCTGCAAGGGCTTCTTCAAGGTAAGGAGGGGACCCTCCCGCACCCCGCCCCGCCCCCGGGATGTTCCCACAAGGCTTTGCGGCGGCGGGAGGATGCCGCGGGGCACCCCGGGGAGGGGCAGGGCAGGGCAGGGAGCGCGGCCCCGAGCCCTCCCCGCGGACGCGGAGCCGGATGCCGGGGCTGGAGCGGGAGGCAAGGGAGGACAGAAGGGCTTTTGTTCGGAGCTCGGCGCCCCGGGCTGAGCTCGGCCGCTCCTTCCCCGCCCGCAGCGCACGGTGCAGAAGAACGCCAAGTACATCTGCCTGGCCAACAAGGATTGTCCCGTGGACAAGCGGCGCAGGAACCGCTGCCAGTTCTGCCGCTTCCAGAAGTGCCTGGCCGTCGGCATGGTCAAAGAAGGTACGGGGGGCCCGTCCTGGGCGGGGGGGGACCCAGCAGGAGCGGGGGATTCCTGCTCCACAGCCTGCGCTGAGGGCAGACACACTCATGGCGTGTCCCTCTCCGCAGTGGTCCGGACCGACAGCCTGAAGGGGCGGCGGGGCCGCCTCCCCTCCAAGCCCAAACAGCCGCCGGACGCGTCCCCCGTCAGCCTCATGACCTCCCTGGTGCGGGCACACATCGACTCCATCCCCAGCGCCACCAAGCTCGACTACTCCAAGGTAAGGCCAGTGCCACCCTGCCAGGGCTGGGGACAGATCCTAACCCATCCATCCCCGCTCCTGACCTGTCCCCACGCTGAATTCAGCCCCATCCCCACCCCGGATCCTGATCCCGTTCCCATCCCAGTTCCAGGAGTCGGCGCCGTGCCCGTTCGAGAAGGAGGACTCGGTGGATGTGCAGCAGTTCTACGACCTGCTCACCGGCTCCATGGACGTCATCCGCAAGTGGGCCGAGAAGATCCAGGGATTTGCCGAGCTGCCCAAGGAGGACCAGGACCTGCTGCTGGAGTCGGCCTTCCTGGAGCTCTTCATCCTGCGCCTGGCATACCGGTGAGCCCCGGGGCGGCACAGGGCGGAGTGGGGGAAGCCCGGGATGTGCCAGGGGTGGGGTGACACCCGGTTTTGTTTTCCGGCAGCTCGAAGCCGGAGGAAGGGAAACTCATCTTCTGCAACGGGGTGGTGCTGCACCGGCAGCAGTGCGTGCGCGGCTTCGGGGAGTGGATCGACGCCATCCTGGAGTTCTCCCAGAGCCTGCACCGCATGAGCGTCGACGTCCCCTCCTTCTCCTGCCTCGCCGCCCTCGTCATCATCACAGGTGAGACCCCCCTCCCCACTCCCAGCCCCACCACTGTCCCCATCCCACCCTGAGGCATCGCCCCAACCCCACTGCTGTCCCCATCCCCACCCTGAGGCATCACCCCAACCCCACTGCTGTCCCCATCCCCACCCTGTGGTCCCACCCTGACCTCACACCCCATTTGCCCCCCAGACCGGCACGGGCTGAAGGAGCCCAAGCGGGTGGAGGAGCTGCAGAACCGCATCGTGAGCTGCCTCAAGGACCACGTGGCAGCGGCGGGGGCCGAGCCGGGGCGGCCCGGCTGCCTCTCCAAGCTCCTGGGGAAGCTGCCGGAGCTGCGCAGCCTCTGCACCCAGGGCCTCCAGCGCATCTTCTACCTCAAGCTGGAGGACCTGGTGCCGCCGCCGCCCATCGTCGACAAGATCTTCATGGACACGCTGCCCTTCTGAGCCCCCGGCGGGCGGCTGCCACCAGCCCCTGTCACCTCCCCCCCCCCGGGGACATCTGGGACCCTCCATGAGCAGCCCTGGTTCGGTGCAAGGGATGTCCGGGACCCCCCCTGGACGCCGCTGGGTCACCCGTGGGGTGCCCGGGACATCCCCTGCGTACCCCTGGATCATCCCCAGGATCCTTTGGGACCGCCCCTGGATCACTCCAGAACGCCTGGGACCCTCCCCCCGATTACTCCCGGGATATCTGGGTCCCCCCTCAGATGCCTGAGTCCCCCTGGGGACACCCCTTGGGGGTCCCCCATGTGCCTTCACGGCGCGGGCGCAGCCCCGGTGCCGTCCCCCCCCTCGGGGCATCGCCGGTGTGGTGCCCCCTCCCCCTGTAAAAAACACCCCCCATGTAAATAGCGCCGGTCAGGTCCTGTACAGAGCAGGGGGCACGGGCAGGGAGGGGCTCTGGCCCCCCAACCTCGGCCCCCTCCCCTTTATATATATTTTTCTGGTTTTTCCCCCTTTTTGGCCACTTTCTGTATATAAACTTGTACGTACGGTGAGAGCTCTGAGAGGGACCTTTGTCCTGCGTGTCCCCCGGAAATGTTGGCTCTGATGAATATTTGGGGAGTGGGGGGGTGGCAGGACAGAGCAAGGGGACTGGGGACAGCCAGGAATGCCGGAATAGGGACAGCCAGGGCTGGGGACAGCCGGGGTTGGGGACAGCTGGGCAAGGGGACACCCGGGATGCTGAACTGGGGAAAAACAGAGCGCCGGAGCTGGGACAGTCAGAGCTGGAGAAAGCCAGGACGCTGGAGCTGGGGGACAGTGTGGATGTCAGAGCTGGGGACAGCTGGGGCACCGGAGCTGGGGAGAAACAGGACGCTGGAGCTGGGACAGCCCAGCCGGATTTTGGAGCCGGGGACAGTCGGGATGACAGGGCAGGGGACAGCCGGGATCCTGGAGCCGGGGACAGCCGGGGCTGCGGACGGCAGAGATGACAGGGCAGGGGACAGCTGGGGCCCAGGAGCTGGAAACAGCCGGGATCCTGGAGCTGGGGACAGCCGGGCTTGAGGACAGCCGGGGCTCCGGAGCCGGGACAGCCGCGGTGCCGGAGCCGCACGTTGCCCACGCCGCTGCCCTTGAACGGTCACTCGGCCCCGCGGCGGCGGCTGCCGCAGCCCCGCACCTGTCGCCCGCCTGATTTATCATCCCCAAAATAACCCCGAAGCGTGACCGTGTCCCCCCCTCGTGTCCCCAGGGACGTGGCCGTTGGCAGGGCCGGTCCTGGCAGGGGAGCGATGGCTTTTGGGGTCCCCATCCCAGGAGCTGGGGACAGGGCAGGGGGTCCCCGGGCGTGCAGGGGGAACATATGGGGCTGGTTTGTCCCCCAGCTTGTCGCCTTCCTCCTGCTGGGCACGGCCTGGCCCCGGAGAAACGTTAATGGGGGCACCCAGGGCCGGTGTGGAACAAGGGCCACATTGAGAGCGGGGCCGGGGGGGCCCCACAGTGACACAAAACAAGGGTCCCTCTGTCCCCCCCCGCCGCCCCCGCCACGGGGACGGTGCTGACGCACGGCAGGGCCACGGGGGTTGGGTTGGGGGACAGGAGAGCCCCACACATGGGGCACGGGGGGCACGGGGTGGGCCCCCGGCACAGCACAGCTCGGCTCTGCTCCAGCTGCAGGAGTGGCCATGCCACAGGTCCCTGTCCCCTGCCCACAGCTCAGCACTGGCCTCTGCCCACCTTGTCCCTGTTCTCCCATCCCCTTGGCTGCAGGAAGGATGGGGACATGGTGCCAGCAGGGCCAGGTAAAAATAGCCCCATTTCCAGCTCTGGCCACATCGGTGGCCCCGGGGCTGCACGGCAGGGACAGTGTGGCACAGCGTGTGCCCAGGGACATGCCATGGCCACAGGTTTCCTGCTATTTGCACCTGGGCACGTGTCCCAAATCTCCATATCCTCACTCCCTTTGTCCCCCATGTCCATCCATCCATCCATCCATCCTGTCCCCATATCTCTCATGTCCCCACGTCCCCGTTTCCAGTACTCGCTGTGCCCCGTGTCGCCGTATCCCTGTGTCATTCTGTCCCCTGTGTCCATCTGTCCCTGCTTCCCCCCCTTTCCCTATGTCCCTGCTGTCCCCGTGTTGGTGTTCCCCGTGCCCTTGTGGCCCCTGTCCCCACGCACGTCCCCCCGTTGTCCACTTGTCCCCGCGGGGGTCACGGGGGGTCACCGGACGCCCCGCCCCGCTGCAGAACCGCCGCGGGGGCCTCCAGCCCAGGGCGGCGCTGTGGAATCGTGGAGCCGCTCTGCGCCGCGGCGGGTGCAACTCCGTGGCGCTCTTGGAACGAACCAAGCCGGGAAGGGGGAGGTCCGCAGAACGGGAAAGGTGATTCCGTCCCTGGAGACGTCCCGCGGCGGGAAACGGCACCGAAGAGTGGGGGGACCCCCACAAAATTAACGGGAACACGTTAGAGTGAGGAAACACGGCGGTTACAGCGGGAGGCGACGCCGCGGCCTCCATGGTGTGTCCCGACGCCCCCTGCGCAGATGGGGTGGTCCACTTCCCTCCTCCCCGCCGTCAGATGGTCGGGCCCGGGCGGTGAGTGGGGACCGGGACCGGGATCGGGGCCAGGACCGGGATCGGGGCCAGGACCGGGGCCGGGGCTGGGACCGGGATCGGGGGTGAGGGAGGCTGCGGCCCCTGGAGGGGGTGAGGGGCCCGGGGACTGACGGGGATCCGGGCCCTGGAGCCCGAGGGGAGCCTGGGACGCTCCGGGGGAGGCTGAGGGGGAGCGGACCGGGCCGTGTGGGGCCGTGTGGGGTGGGGAGGCCACACACCGGTCACCCCCCCTGGGCTGTGCCAGGGCCAGACCACGACACTGGGGTCCCTGTGGGGTGTGAGGGGCTCGAACCAGGACTTTGGGGTCCCTGTGGGGTTATGAGGGACCCAGGCTGGGTCCCTATGCGGTACTGGGGGGCCTGTACTGGGATCGCTGGGGGGGGGGTCACTCACTGGAACACCGGCGTCCCCAGGGGTGGGTTCAGGGGGGTCCCCAGAGGGGCTGCCACGCGAGCAGGGGGTACAACCAACACCCCCCATCCCCTCCCCGCCCTTGTGCCCCCTCAGCTCCCGCTGCTGTGGCCCCCCCGGCGCCGCCCCCGCCATGAACTGCCGCGCCGAGGTGCTGGAGGTGTCGGTGGAGGGGCGGCAGGTGGAGGAGGCCATGCTGGCCGTGCTCCACACCGTCCTGCTGCACCGCAGCACCGGCAAGTTCCACTACAAGAAGGAGGGCACCTACTCCATCGGCACCGTGGGCACCCAGGACGTGGACTGCGACTTCATCGACTTCGCCTACGTGCGAGTCTCCTCCGAGGAGCTGGACCGGGCCCTGCGCAAGGCCGTGGGGGAGTTCAAGGTGAAGGGAGGGGGCCCAGCAGGGGTGAAAGGCAGTGGAAAGGGCCTGAGGGAGCTTGGTCTGCTCAGCTGGAGAGGAGGAGACTGAGGGGAGACTCCTCAGGGTCTGCAGTTCCAATCTCTGCTCTCCGTGAGCAGGGACAGGACCTGAGGGAACGGCTGGAGCTGTGTCAGGGGAGGGTTAGGTTGGATGTCAGGGAATGATTCTTCCCCCAGAGGGTGGTCAGGCTCCCCAGGGCAGTGGGCACGGCCCCAAGGCTGCCAGAGCTCAAGGAGTGTTTGGGGAGGGGGGGTCAGTCCCTGTTGCCCCCCGACCCAAATGCTGCCCCGCAGGACGCGCTGCGCGGCTCCGGCAGCGACGGGATGGGGCAGATCTCCCTGGAGTTCTACCAGAAGAAGAAGTCGCGGTGGCCCTTCTCGGACGAGTGCATCCCCTGGGAGCTCTGGACCATCAAGGTGAACGTGGTGAACCTGGCCAACGAGCAGGAGCGGCAGATCTGCCGCGAGAAGGTGGGCGAGAAGCTCTGCGAGAAGATCATCAACATCGTGGAGGTGATGAACCGCCACGAGTACCTGCCCAAGATGCCCACCCAGTCCGAGGTGGACAACGTCTTCGACACCAGCCTGAAGGACGTGCAGCCCTACTTGTACAAGATCTCCTACCAGATCACGGACTCCCTGGGCACCTCGGTCACCACCACCATGCGCCGGCTCATCAAGGACACGCTGGCGCTGTAGGGCTGGTGTCACCCCGGCTGGTGGCACCTCCTGGGGACAAGAGGCTCTGCTTGGATCCCCTTCTCCACCTCCAGAAAGCCTCTGGGAGGAGCTGGGCTCGGCCTGGCCTGTAATTGGGGGTTGCTGCTCCTTGGTCCTGTCCGTCCTGGAGAACCGGCTCGGCGGCTCTGGCCTGGCTGGTGACGGGGGTGAGTCCTCGGGGCACGTGTGGCACCGGCTTGGCGTGGCACTGGGGCCTGGCACAGGGGTGCTGGGGCCTGGCACGGGGGTGCTGGGGGCCTGGCAGAGGGTGTTGAGGGGCGAGGTGACACCTGAACTCCACCCCTCTGAAGCACATTTGGTGCCACACAGCCAGTGCTGGCCGTGTCCCTTGTCACAAACCGTCCCCCCCCCCGGTGTCACCCTGTTCCCTGGGGGGCTGGAACCGCCCCAAAAATAAAGTGTTCCTGCTTTCACGTGGAGCCTGGTCACATCCTGGCTGGGGGGGGCTCAGGGCCATGGGAGGGGGTCCCCAGTGCTGTGGGGCTGAGCTGGGGGGTCTCCATCATACCCCAGCACTGTGGAGCTGAACTGGGGGTCCCCGGTGCTGTGGGGCTGAGCTGGGGGGTCCCCATCATACCCCAGCACTGTGGGGCTGATCTGGGGGTCCCCAGTGTCATGGGGCTGAGCTGAGGGTCCCCATCCTACCCCAGCACTGTGGGGCTGAGCTGGGGGTCCCCAGTGTCATGGGGCTGAGCTGTGGAACCCTGAGACTATGGAGCTGAGCTGGGGGTCCCCACTGCACCCCAGTGCTGGGGGGCTGCAGTGGGCAGGGGGTCGGTGCTGCCCACACCCGCAGTGGGGCAGCCCCAGTTCCCCCCAGACACATCGGGTAGGGCCTGGGGTGACCCCTCCCTCCATGCAGAACCCTGCACCCCTCCACTGCACCAAGGGGGGGGCAGAGCTGCTCCCTCCCTCCCTCCCCGGGGTGGGGGGATCCACTGGGCTCCGGCGCCTCCGGGCGCGAGGGGGGCCATGGAGAAGGGGGGGATAAGACGGTCCCTGACATCACTTAAACCCTCCCCGTCTGTCGCTGCCGCCGCTGCCACAGTCACTCTGGGGAGGAAGAGGAGGAGGAGGAGGAGGAGGAGGAGGAGGAGGAGGAGGAGGAGGAGGGGGCCATGAACACCACCCGTGAGGACACGGGGCTGAGCGAGGCCGCCCAGATCGCCGTGGTGCTGGTGCTCGGCCTCACCGTCGCCTTCGCCATCCTCTTCCTCGGCTGCAACCTCCTCCTGCAGGCCGAGAGCCTGGCGGCGCCCGCGGCACAGGGCGAGCGGGGCCCGTCCGAGCCCGACGCGGGCACCGAGGGCACGTAGGGACGGACAGAGCCCTGGGCACGGACAGAGGGACGCGGGTGGATGCGGACACACGGCAGTGTCCGAGCCCGCGGCGTCTCCGAGGGAGCGGGACGGCTCCGGGAGCTCCCGGGGGTGGATGTCACACAGGGCAGGTAGGGACGGACAGACGGATGGACACCCCCGCAGAGGGACGGACGGATGGACGGAGGGATGTGGACAGGGTGTGGCATCTCTGGGAGTCCTTTGGGACAGCGCTGGGGGCTCAGGGGGGTGGATGTCACCGAGGGCGCTGGGACCTGCCCAAGCCTGGCGGACGGACAGACGGACGGACGGACGGCTGGACATGGATGGACGGGGCTGGGCAGCAGCGCCTCTGCCCACAGAATCTCTGGTGGCCCCCGGGATGGAGCAGGGGGTCGTGTGGATGGATTAAAAGGCCACAGCGGTGCTGGGGGGGGCCGGGGCCGGGCTGGATCCCGCCCTGGGCGCGGCAGCGCTGGTAATCCCCCCCAAGAGGATTAGGGGAAACTTTTATTCCCTGTTTCAGGGCTAATCCCTGGGCTGGTGGGGCTCGGGGAAGGAGGCCGGGCCCCTGCCCCGCTGCCAGGGGCTGGGATTGCATCCTGCCCCTCCCAGCCCTTCGGACCCCGGTGGCCACATTCTGCCCCCCCCCCAACTCTTTCTGCCCTGCTGGCCCCATCCTGCCTCTCCCACGTCTGACCCTGCCCCTTCACCCCCTTTTCCATTGCTCCTGGGGCCGTATCCTGCCCTCCACCCTGCCCCCCACAGCCCTTCCTGGCCTCTAATCTGCTCCCAGTCCCTCACAGCCACCAGCAGTGGGGTGAACTGGTGTCACCCCACCCTGGAACAGGGCTGGCGATGTGGGGGCAGCTCCCAAAAGCAGGTTCCCCCCACCTTTTAATCCCATAACTTTAATAACAGCACTGCAAAGCCCTGCTGAAGGTCTGCCCCCTGTATATCCATGTGGCCCCCACGCCCAGGGGACGTGGGACCCCCAGCCTGGGGTGGGGGCACTCCAGGCACTTGGATCCCCCCTGTGAATCCCCCCACCAGTCCCCCCAATCAGGCAGTGGCCGTGTAAAAGACTCCATATATTTCACATGTACAAAAAGTCACTGGGGGGCGAAGGGGTGGGTCCGGGGGGGGTCCTGGGACAGTGGGCACCATCCTGCCACTCCCCCCACACACCCCCCCGGCCTGGCTTTGGTCCCTTTTTTTTGGCACTTAGTGTTTCACATCAGTGGTCAAAGTGTCGAGCGCGGGCTGGGGGGGTCCCCGTGGTCCCTGCGGTGGGGTGGGGGCCCTGAAGCAGTGACACCCCCCCCCACCCCAGGGATGAGGGGACCCCAACTGGGAGAGGGCACCCCACGGGTCAGCCCTCGGCGCTGGGGTCCCACCACAGCTGGATTTGGCCTCTGTCTCGGGTGGTCTGGGGGTGGTCCGGGCGCAGGGACGGGGGTGTCACCCGTGAGGACGGTGGCACGAGGACGTTTCCCCCCAACCCCTGCATGGTGTCGGGACAGGACAGAGCCTTCCCCGGGCACCTGTGGGGCAGAGGGGGGTGAGGAGGGGAAACTGAGGCAGCCCCAGCCCCCCCTGCCCCCGGGTGGGTCCTCGGCCTCTCCCGGCTACAGGCGGATGCACCTGTGGGCTGTGGGACGGAAGGGACAGTCAGGGACAGTGTTGGGGACAGCTGGCCTGGCCCAAGGGGGGGCCCAGGTGACCCCCCCGGGGTACAGGCAGCTCAGGGTGAGTCCTCCCAGCACTGGGCTGGGACGAAGCAGTGCACTGGGATCCCACTCTGGGATCCTGTAGGGCACTAGGACCCCGTGCTGGGATCAATCAGTGCGCTGGGACCCTTCCCTGGGATCCAGTATTGCATTGGGATCCCACCTCAGACCCAGTAGTGCACTGGGATCCTGCCCTGGGATCCAGTATTGCATTGGGATCCCACCTCAGACCCAGTAGTGCACTGGGATCCTGCCCTGGGATCCAGTATTGCATTGGGATCCCACCTCAGACACAGTGGTGCACTGGGATCCTGCCCTGGGATCCAGTGACGCACTGGGATCCTGCCTTGTGATCCAGTATTGCATTGGGACCCCCCTCTGGGATCCAGTATTGCACTGGAATCCCTCCCTGGGACCCAGCCTTGCAGCGGGATCTGTGCTGGGATCCAGAATTGCACTGGGATCCTGTGCTGGGACCCTGCACTGCATCAAAACCCCCCCATGCCAGAATCCAGCCTTGCACCAGCATCCAGTGCTGGGATCCAGCCTTGAGCTGGGATCCTGTTCCGGGATCCAGCCTTTCACCAGGATCCTGCTCCATTCCAAGGGACCGGAGGGTGCCGGGCACCCCAGGGTGACAACATGCGGGGAGGGGGCGTGCAGGAAGGGGACATGCGGGGCCAGAAGGGATCCGGGGGGGGGGATCCAGAGGGGGATGGATCCAGGAGGATCCAGGCATGCAGTGGTACCTGGGGACTAACAGCTGGACTCGTCGTGGTGGGACGGGTCGCAGAAGAAGCGGGAGCCCCGCTTGGCCGTGCGGGCGGTGAAGGGGACGCTCTTCAGCGCTGCGGGGGGGGGCACGGGCAGGGAATGGGGGGCACAGGGAGATATCAGTCGTCTTGGCCAAATTGGGGGGTGGAGGGGACAGGGAGACATCAGCCCTGGCAGCCAGAGGGGCCAGGGGGACCATACCAGTGATGATGTCCTCGATGGTGCCGTCCTTGCCCTCGTACACGGGCCGGTGGTCCTTGGCCTGGCGCCGCCGCAGCTCCGCGATCAGCTCCTGCTGCTGCCACTTGTTGCGCTGTGAGGGAGGGTCCAGGTTAGGGACGGGGGGGTCCCCGCTGTGCCCCCCACCCTCCCCAGCCCACCCACTCTCACCTTCTCCTGCTTTTTAGCCTCCTGCGCCAGCAGCTTCTCCCGCATCACCTCCTCCTGCTTCTTCCGCGTCTCGTTCTCCTGCTCCGCGTCCTGCCCGGGGCACGGGGGGCGGTGGGAGCCATCCCCCAGGGCCACCCACCCCCTGTGTGTCCCCTCCTGGTCCCAACCTCACCTTGTAGGAGCGGATGAACCGGACAAAGACCGGGAAGAAGACAGACGGGGGGGTCGTCTTGGGGCTCTCGCCGAAGTACCGCACCACGGTGTTGTAGGCGTCCTGGCACGGGGTGGGTGGTCAGGGACGGGGCAGTGCCCGGCTCAGGGGGGGTTTGTGAGGCATAGGTGGGACAAAGAGTGTGCAAAGCAAGGCGTGGATGAGCAGGTGTGCACGAGGAGTGTGAAGAAAAAGGTGTGGACGACAAGGAACGCAAAAGGAACAGGCGAGGGAAGGCAGGTGCGCACCAGGAACGTGCGGAGCGAGGTGTGGATGACGAGGAGCGCACAAGGAACGTGCAAGGCAAGGTGTGGATGAGTGGGGTTGCCCAAGGGCTCTGCAAAGCACAGAGAGGATGACAAGCTGTGTGCAAGGCAGGGCAGGTGTGCGCAGGGAGTGTGCAGAGTAAGGTTCCTGTGACAAGGAACGCACAAGGATCGTGCAGAGCAAGGTGTGAACGCCCAGGAATGCACAAGGATCGTGCAGAGCAAGGTGAGGATGCCCAGGAATGCACAAGGATCGTGCAGAGCAAGGTGAGGATGCCCAGGAATGCACAAGGATCGTGCAGAGCAAGGTGAGGATGCCCAG